GAAAACCCACGCAGGAACGCGGAGAACATCCAAACTCCACACAGGAAGGCCGGAGCCGGAGTCGAACCTTGCAACTCTGCACTGTGAGGCCGACGCGCTAACCACTTGATCACTGGGCCGCAACTGTTACTGTATTCCTGTAAACTCATGAAAACTCTTTGAAATTGCAACCTTATAAAAAAATATATCACATTTCGAAATGATTTACCGCATAATACCCTATCTCGTTGTCTTTTAAGATTTGTGATTCAGAATGAATTCAAGTGGAAGATGTCCTTTTGCATTTTCAAGGCAGTACTTGTTCTGTGAATAGTGTTTGGCTTCTTCCATAACCTCTCTTGAGACCTGGCAGAGCAACTCTTTGAAACCATTTCATTTTTTTCTCTCTACTTTAAGAGAACACAGCTGAGTCATGTCGTCAGTGTTGGGGGTGCTTTATGTCTCTTTGCTAAACACTCTCACGCATGGACTCGAATCAAATAACATCGTAGAGGCGCTCATGTTGTAAGACAAAGACAGCGCGCTGACTTTGAAGACGGCAGTACTAAGCAGATTGGTGCGCGGCGCGATAAAGACCGCTGCGCTTCCATTAAGTGCGAAATGAGTTTTTCACTTGTTGACTGACAGGAGGGAAGAAAAGAAAACGTCCGCAGAGGAGATAAGCGCAAACGGGAACAATAATTGAGGCCTCTGAGTTCGGGGAAAAACATATTTCTCTCGTTAGCTTCTTTCTGCTGCAATCATCAATTAAACTGCTAATTGTGCACCTTCGTTCAGCTTGTATTTTTTTTCCCCCTCTGTGAGAATACAAAATTAGATTCTGAGAAAAGAGTGTCACTTGTTTCAAGAAAAAGCTGTCATCTTAAATTCAAAGGATACACTTTGAATTTTTTAAAATGTCAAAATTCCATTGAATGAAATTTCCACTGACAATGTTTCCTTGACACCATCATAACCAAATGCAGACGGGAATTTTTGGAGATTTGTTAACTGTAACTTTTAACTCATGGGTCGGAATTTTAAATTAGGAATTAGCAGTCTGCCAAGTGTACTTCTTACTTCTTACATGAAGACCTAAACGTGAATGCAAGCTCTACTTCCTCCATCTTCTGCCTCACTAAGTGCAACTGGTGTTCCACCCACTACAAACCACCCTTGTGACCCCCTGGTGGGCTGCCCACCAGCACGGGGGCACCTCGTGGACATTGACTGTGATTCTCCGCCCTCACCTGCTGCTTCTGCTGCACAGAATGTTTTATAAATAAGCATGTTAAATATTCATTTGTCAGCATCTGCACCCAAAAGCAGACTGTTGACTTTTCCTAAAGTCACAAGGACCAGCCAAAAATTATCCAATAATTTTACAACTATACATACATTGTTCGTTGTTTTTATTAGACACTTTCTCAAACGAATGAATGTACGGTATTGATCAACAGTTCGCCCACAATCTCATTCCAATACACACACAAGAAGAAAAAAAACCTGAAAGTCAACCTTGGGGGATGCCACCTTAAAATTTACACATTTATAGTGTTCACTTATTCCTTAATTTCCCTCATAGGATAAATAGTCGCTCTGTTCATCCATCCCTAGGTATCTTTTTCTCTTCTATCTTCTACTCTGCCCTCAGAGGGTGCTTGACTGACATGTAATGAAAGCAGCGATACTGTATCTTAGTAGCGATACTGTATCTTAGTAGCCCTTTTTCTGATTTTCATTTTTTTGGTTTTATGTTTATCAATACACTTCTTACTTCGCAAAGTCTGTCACTCCTTCGTAGGAAGAAAATCACATTGAATATTCATAAAGACATTTTTTCCTCGTGTCACGTGACAGACATGCACTTTACATCAAATGTGCATGAAGGAGTGGGTGGTGCTCAGTGACCATCACGTGACAGAGTCCATGTGCTGTCACTCTCCAAAAGTCAGTGGCGGACCCTCAGGGCCAGCAAGGCATTCTCTGCTGGCCTAAACATTCTCAGAATTTTCTGAGAATAACATTAATTTGTTATTTTATTTTCATAAATATGTAAACAAAATTATTCTCTGTATTCTTTACGTCATGTTATTTCCACTTAGTCGAGTGGCTTTCAATGTTATTTTAAATAACATTGAAAGCCACTCGATAAATTACTTATTTATTATGATAGAGTTTTTAACCAATCATATTTCAGCTAGCTTGTGTTGTCAGGTAAATTAAACTTGCTCGGGGCCTTCAGATTAAACAGAGCAGGCCCCTGTGCACTGTAAGTGAACGGGCACAGTCAGGTTTCAATAGCCAATCAGATCACGAGTCTGTGATCTGACTCGTCTGTGTACTAGGGCCAGCTAGAAGGCCTTACGTTGAGGCTGGCCGTGCGCGTTCGGTGATTGGATTAGCACCTTTTCTGTTTCCTGAGAATTGTATCCTGACTTGTTCAATAAAGATTAAAAAAAAAAAAAAAAAAAAAAAAAAATTGGTGA